TTTCTAAATAGAAATAATACTATATACATATATAATGTATAATAATTGAAATGTGACTGTATTTTACAAAATACTAGTCTACTAAAACACAACCAAGACAGGTCACTTTGTATAGACTAAAGGTCAGTTTTATATTATTGGATATGGTAACATAAGAGCATGTGTGGTGCATCATTGTAACTTCTGTATTGTTAGGCAGGCATGGCTGAAAGGTCAAAATAATAAATATATGTAAATGTAGAATATTATGATATTTAAGCTATTTAGTGTAACCATTTATGTTTTTGTGTTATAATTTGTGTTCATTCTAGAACGAAAGAGACATAATTTATATTTATTTCCTAATTTTTTATGGTGGTTACAAGATTGGTCAAATCTACTAAACCCGTACAGAGATTCATTACTGAAAATAACAGATAAAATATCAAGTTTTTTCTTAAGAAACATTTGATAACTATCTGAACATTATAAAGATTTCATGTGTGAAATATGAAAATTTTCTGATGCAGATGAAAAAAGTTAACCACACATATTATATTGAGAGACATAACTGGCTTAATTATAATCAGTATTAGTGGATTAATTTACAGAAGGGTGTTGATGATAAGTGAGAAAGATGTCATGTGTCTTTTTCAGCACATGGATTGCTGAAGTTTTTGACTGGATTTGTTTATCATGTAAAACAATAGTTAATTAAGCAAATTATATACCAAAAATATATCTTAAATTGCATTTACTAATTAATTTACACATATAATTAAATTCTAAGCATGCAACCAAACCACTTTAATATTGCCAGCTATATTGGTATCTTTTTTCACTCAGTGTCTCTTTAGTAAATTGATTAGGCTTAAAACCTTTCGAAAAATTTGACTCAATATATGGCCAGAAATGAAAAATTAGAGACAAAAAGCCAAACATTTTTCACAAAGTTTTTTATCATATTGACTTCAACTGGTATGTGTAACATACTATAGAATTTTGGCATTGCTCAATTTGTAAAGATGCACAAAAAGCAATGTTTATGCACATGGGTAGCAAAATCCTACTAAGACAATGAATAATGACTGCCATTTGAAAAGTAACTTAAAAAATAAAATAAAGAAAAAACACTGAATCATAAAAAATGGTTTTCACAGATTCTTAAGAAATTTTTTAAAACTAATAAAATGCTTCAAACTCCATCTGTATCTAAAAATACAAGTAACAGAAGAAATTAACACTAAATAAAAAACATTTTCTTTATTAACCCTCTCTACCCAGGCAACATTTGCTGCATGTCACAAGGTTTTAGTGTCTTACATTCAAATTTTATTAAACTACTTTTTGTTTATGTTATATCAATTAGTGTAGCATAAAATAGTAGCTAATAATCCGTATTTTAATAGTTTACAAGTTTTAAGTTCTTAATTTTATAAAGCCCTATATTTCCCCTAGTGTGAGAAAAGTGATGTATTTTCTGTAGGCATCACATTTTCTCTATTTTATTCACTACCCCTCCAATAAGTACAAAATTAAAAAAATTACTCAGTTTCAAATATTCATTGCTCAGAGAAACCATAATATTTATAGTTTCCAATTTTGTTTGCTTACAGAGCCATCGAAGAGAAAATCAGCCTCCTCTTGCCACACCCACCTATCATAACAGGATTTGTTAATAGTTTTCTCTTGTGTTTAATTCTATATTATCTATAACCAATAGAAAGCCAAGGTTTTCATCTATCAGATGACATATTATAATATGTTGTGTTCTGAACAGTGATTTGTCAATTTCTCTTTTAGTACAAGCTTCATTCCCACAGGAAAGATAACAACTAGCTTGTATGAATTTGTAATGGTTCTTGTACCGGTAAGTACTCTTATTTCTTGTTTTTCATGTATATTCTTTACTTATTATTATAAAAGTAACTCAAATGTAAAAAATAGTGATCTCTTTGGATTAGTTAAGGTTAGATTATGTAAAATAAATAATAATATATTAAAAATGTTTCATGAAGCATGCATGCAAACACCTTGTGGTTAACGTAATTAGATCGCATAAGATGAGCTGCACGTTCCCCAAGTGATTTACAACTTACAATGACATGAATAGTAGTTAGACATGGTTCAAAAGGCAATAAAACAATAAAGTTTAATCATAAGTAGATGTATACTGTTGCATGTATACATTTGGCAGATTATCAGTAAACATTACAAAGCTTTCATATGCAAAATATCAAACTTTTTACAAAGTCTTAAGGTTTGTAAAGCAGTGTTTTTCTCATGCATTTTTTTTCCTTTTCACATGTTGCCTATCTAACATGAAAAGTAATATTCATTTTAAGATTAAAAATACTTTTGTGTGTTTTGACACAAACCTTCAGTAACAACTGAGGTATATCACTGATATTGATATATCTCAGTAAGGAGATCTGATTGAGTATGCTGATTAGCTTATGCCTATTTTGTTCATACCATGTTTGAAGAATATGGCTAAATATATATTGTCTCAGGAGTTTTTGAAGTGAAATATATGAAGAAACTGCCTTTGGTATGGTGGGTGACCAAATTGAAAAATGAAGGTGACTCAAATTTTGCCACTGGAAAAAATTATAAAGTGAAATCAGAACTTTGAAGTCAAAGTTTAAAGTTGTGTGACCCCTGGATATCAGATAAAAAATTTATATCTTGCAAAGCAGTATCTTAGCAAATCATGGGACCAATTTTTCTAATCAAGAACAACTTGAATTGTTTTGTTATAGATATTTAAAGTCACCAAATGACAATATGTAATTCAACTCAGCATATACACTTTTTCTTCAATTCTGTGGTAAGGATGGCATTCCACATAGCTTTGAGACAGTTCCTTGGTTTAAAATTAA